GTGTATCGCACTATATCGTATGAAGATACTATGTAGATACTATCTCGTGGCAGCCAGTTACTAAGTCGTGCGTACGAGATTCTATGCCGTTGCCACGAGTTACTAAGTCGTGGAAACGAGAAAATAAGGTGGTGCACATGAGATACTATGTCGTGCAGTCGAGTTACTTAGTCGTGCGCACGAGATAATTATGTGGTGCGTACCATGTACTATGTTGTGGCCACGGGCTTCTTAGTCATGTGCACAAGATAATAAGTGGTGGGAACAAGTTACTATGTGGTGAGAACTTATTCCATCGCGCATTTTATTAATTAATTGCGTTTTTAGAATGATGTCTTTTTTCCGTTATAGATAACGTTGTAAGTTCATACGCCTTTAAAAGAAAAAGTACTAAACAAAAATATGAAGTTTTCATAATCTCTTTTCGAAAAATAGAAAACATGTTAATAAATATGCAAGAAAAAGAATCATGCACCGGCTATCATATACCTTAATATAACTGTTTAGTGTCCAACTTTATTTTTCATCCAATAAAAACGCTGTATTTCTTGAAAAAATATATTTTAATTTTCATAGAAGAATAAATAGAGGATATTTGTTTGTTTGTGTGTAAGATGAAATTTTATTTCTCAGAGTGGGCTTTATAGGAGCACATTTGTCTCGGAGCACATATACTTACGTAAGACCGATGCGATCGCATTTGTCCCACATGAGACAAATGGGACCTCAAATGTCTAACCAAAAAACACATTTGTGTGACAAATGTGCTCCGATTTTTAAGGGACAAGAAAGCATATTTGTCTCATGCTTTTCAAGAGATAAGAAATATCTGTAATATATGTAATATGAATTATTTGTAGCATATTTACCCAGGGCATTTTTTAAGGTTCGCTTGTCAAGTGTAATCATCAATAGGTTTGCTAATACTTTTTCTATAAAATCTTAGACATGGAACTATTTATTCTGATATCTCTTAAACAAGAATTTGATTGACTGATCCTGAAGGCGTACACTGAAACATACGGAATCCCATTCACGTACCCGATGGTACAATGGTTAAAGCGCGATGGAACGATGGTAAAACACGATGGTACGAACTTGAAACAACGATGAAATATGAATCTTTGTGAAAACTAGCTTTCAAGATAATGATGGGAAACTATTCTGACATTTAAAGCCCATGTGGCATTGGCCTTTGACCTAGTGACCCGAACATCAAAAGGGCTAATCTACTGGTTATGACCATTGACTGTGCGAAATATGAAGAATTTTTTATGAAAAGTATTCAAAATAATAAGCAGAAACCATTCTGGCATTTTAGGCCCCTACAACCCTGACCTTTGACCTAATGACACCAAAATCAAGAAGGATTATCTACTTGTTATGACCAATCACTGTATTAAATATGAAAACTTTGTAATGAATGGTTTTTAAGATAATCAGCGGAAACCATTCAGACATTTAAAGCCCCTGTGACATTGACCCTAGACCTAGTGACCCCAAAATCAATAGGATCCATCAACTAGTTATGGCCAACCAGTATGTGAATATGAAGACTTTGTGATAAATAGTATTTAAGATAAGCAGCGGAAAGCATGTGGTCAACTGACCGACAGACTGACTGACCATCCGACCGACCGACGTACCGACCGACATGTACCCTCTCTTCTTCGAAAAGGGAGGGGGCATATTAATTATTATGCGACCGTTTTGCATGCTTGATTTTGTTTTATTCAGCGAGTTTCATATTTAAATGTTGAATTCTGCTTAAGCCGGTGCTAGGGGGCCTGGACGGTAGTTTGCACTTTACAGTACCTTTCATTAACAGGCTCAATCAAACCGAGCCTGCAACATTTTCAATTTTGCCATATTAAGCTTTCTTTAGGGATTCTTATTTTCTCTATTTCATTGAATTTACACGAATATATCGAATAAAGAATGGTTTGCATTTAGAAAAATTATTTTTTATCAAAAAGTTGTTTTTTTCTCGACTTTTTTTAAAGAAAAAAAAGAGAGCTATTGTGAAAGTTATGATATCGTTGATGTTGCTGGTACCGCCCTGAAACAAACACGTTGATAATAGCTTGTGTTTTATTTTTCAATGGATTGCCTTCTATTCGATTAGGAAACAACAACCCTTCAGACATGAACTTTACGTTTGCAAGACTGCCGTGAAATACACGATTATTTTTATTTATGCCAAATTATTTATTTTTGTCTGAATATATAGTTTAATTTGAGTTTGTAATAAAGATTTTCAATTTTTTTTGCTATTATTAATGATTGAGCTATATGTTAATGATTGAGCTATATGTTATTGCTCCTCGTCTTGGTACATAATAAATTCCCGCCAAAAATAATGAAGGCGGGAAAATTATATTTCTACGCTTTGCTCCTCGTCACGACTTTCTCACTTTTCTTGCTTTTCTGGTAATGTTACTTTTTGGCGGTAAATTAGCCTAAATAAACACGCCCTTTCACAGCATTAGTTAGATTCGGACATTACAGTTTTTGGAATATACAAGGTATGTTATGTTTAGTTAAAATAAGAATTATAAGTTTTATAAAAGGTTTGAAATTAAAAATAAAGTGTTTATTGAAAATGAAATAAAAAGTTTGTCTTCAATGTTGGTGTAAAACCTGAATCTCCACCACAAAGACTGAAGTTGACCGTCACTCATAAATGACATACCTTCAAAATCAAATATTTTGCTTGACTTAAGCTGTAATTGTTTTCAAACCTGGACACAATAATTCTTCAGAAAAGAAATTTATGCAGACAAAATTGATTATGACCTTCGCGCATCAATGACCTTGGCCTTGAATGTAAAATCATTTAATTTTGCTTGTTTATTGGTTGTAAATTCGTATTTATGAATGGATTGTGTTCACAATTGGGCATAAACATCCTCAGAAAGAAATCGTGTGACGAAACCAATTTATTATGACCTTTACTCCTCAATAACCCTGACCTTGAAGATTATCATTAAAATTATTAAATTTTGTTTGATTTTAATTGGTTATAACTTTATTATGAATGGAATGTGTTTATACTTGAGCACATCTACCCTTAGGACAATATCTTAAAACTTGACCTTGACTTATAAAAGACATTGACCTTGATGTCATATAATTGTTATTTAACAGCCTATTCTTTTGCAATAATTGGGTATAACTTGGTAAGCAATTAATGGATAGTCTTCGTAGTTGGCCACAGTGTATGGAAACAGAAATTCAAGAAGACTTAATTGATCTTGACTTGAATTTTACATAGTCAGAAAAGGTCAAATTATTGTTGAATTGTAATAACTTTGTTATATATTTGCAAAGTGTATTTATTCTTGAAAAAAGCACTCTTAGGCAAAACATGCATGTTGAATTAGTTTGATGTGGTATTGACCTTAAAGTGACCTTGCAAGGTCACAATATTGAAATTTGCTACAATGGTAATAACTTTAATCTTAAGTTACAAATTTGATTTTTTATTTTTTTGACAAAAGAACACATATGCCAATTCAACATTAAATTCTTCTGTTATGACCTTGATTTTTCTATTTAGATTACCTGTCCAGGATAAATTAATAAAATTTACGTAATTTGTCATATCTTTGTCATTTATTGACAGATTTGGTTTATACTTCAAGAACCCATCTTACTTGATGAATTGTTTTAAAATGACCTAAAACCTTAAATTGACCATAACATTCACGGTAAAATTAATATTAGTTGTTATTTCTTTTTAAGTCATTTACAGATTTGAGTAAAACTTGAAAAAACACGATTAATGAAATATTCTGATATGACCATGAACATTAATTGACCTTAAAGGTCAAATTATTTAAATTTACCAACATTGCTTTAACTTTAATATTTATCTATGAAATTTCTCTATTCTTAGACAAAAGACCATTTATTATAAAACTGGCAATGATGATTAATAGTGGCATTGACAGTACTTTTTTTGGAAAATAATGTTTTTAATGTGTTGACCCTAATAGTAAGAAAAAGGTGTAGATAAATCCTTTGCGACAATTTTGGTGTATGTCATTGTCTAGAAGACCTCTATTAAAGTTTTATTAACCATGCACTTAGGGTAAAAAAAATATTTTTCAGACAAGTTACTTAATTGCTTTTTTACCTTAATTTGAAGATTATTTTCATTACAGAAACAAATTTACATCCGGGCGTATTTGTCCCTCCTTTTCGGTGCTCTTGTTATTGAATTCGTACCAAGTCTTAAAATTATTCTAACCAAGGGAACTATATCATTCACTAATTTCATACCAATTAAGTAAAATAGATAGAATTATTTTCTTTGTTGAAAATGTTTACATCAGAACTTAGACTTTGTTTTGTGGCTTATAGATGAACTTAATTTTAGACATCCGTTCTGTGTAACATTTTGGTTCAATAAACTGTCAGTGTTTAATTAACTGTCAGGATTGATAATTATAAACCTCTATATAAAATTTTTACCAAACACATTTGAAATGTGATACCAAACAGAAAGCACGTGCTGTAGCGTAGAAATTGTTTAATTGATTTTGGTGCCTTAATTCGCAAACGTTCAACCACAAATCATCCCGTTCGGTTTGCGTAAACTAATTTGTATGCTGATAATAAAATGAATATTTTATTCAAACAATTGAAATACTGTTATGATTTGTATTTATTTGGAAAAAAAGATTTGATTGCGTATTTATGCAAATACGCATCTTGTCTGAAGCACTGTCAGACATGTCCAAATGTGACCTAATTATCTACTCCTGTATTGAGGAATGATGCCCTTTTCTAACAATGAATCTGAGGTGAGAGATCTAGAGCCAACATAACCCTTTTGTGATAGTGACCATGTCTTCATTGTTAGTCAAATGCCACGGTCCACTTACTCAGCCAATCTTTCTGGGCATAGAACCGTTTGTGTTCAGTCGTAGTTTAAATTGGTTTTCATTGGATTCTACAAATGTAGTTACAATTGTTTCTTTTTTTTCTCTAGATATCGTGATGGCACACGAGATACATTTAAAGAACAAAAATTACCGACAGTGGGTCAAGGCAGGCCTAGGCTTAAATTATCTGAAAGAAGGACTAGCACCATTTTGCGATGACATAGGAACACTTCAGCAAAAAGATATTATAAACCAAATTCAAGGAACAAAGACTCCTAAACCTAATGTACCATGTGGCGTATGTCAGATAACAACTCTCCAGCCAGATCATGTTCGAGTCTCAAAAGGAATATGTCCACTCAAGCAAGACAAATGTAACTGTTGCTTTCCAAATAATAAGAAACCATGTCCAAACAACATATGTGGTGCCATCTATGATAGCATTGTACAGAATCATGCATCAATACCACCGGAACCTTTTTGGAAAAACAGTGATGCCCATTATTGGTTTACTGAGCCTTGGAGCATATGCAAATGTTTTATACATGCTCCTGGGTACAAGGACAAGACATCAGCAGCCGACGTTGACTGCTCGGGGTTACTACATGTTATCATAAATAACAAATATTTTCATAATCATATTGGATGCAATGTAACAGGACCAAACAATCTTTTCGCAAAGGTTAGTCTATTTGTTTACTCTTTGTTTAATTCTAATGTTGTGAAATCATTATACGAATAAAACCGATACTGCACTAAGGTGATGCTGAATATAGACTAAATCTTATAGTAAAGCTTAATACATTTTTATAGAATTTAAAATAGACTAAAACCATTACTGCACTAAATTGACCTTATGTCCATATAATTATGAGGCCCATTAGCGAGATAAACAATTCCACAATAAAAGTATGTGAGAAGTTAGCAGTTATTGGTGAGCTAAGCAAAAAGGCATTACGATTTATATACGGAATTCAATTATCTGCTGTTATGCTCAGCTGGGTAAGCAATCTAGCAGAGCATTCTAAATATAGTGTAAAAGGCTCTGCTGTTATAATGCTCAGCTGGCTAAGCAATCTAGCGTGCCATTCCAAAATAAAGTGTAAAAAATGCTCTGCTGTTATGCTCAGCTGGCTAAGCAATCTAGCGGGCCATTCCAAAATAAAGTGTAAAAATGCTCTGCTGTTATGCTCAGCTGGCTAAGCAATCTAGCGGGGCATTCCAAAATATAGTGTAAAATGCTCTGCTGTTATGCTCAGCTGGCTAAGCAATCTAGCGGGGCATTCCAAAATATAATGTAAAAATGTTCTGCTGTTATGCTCAGCTGGCTAAGCAATCTAGCGGGGCATTCCAAAATAAAATGTAAAAATCTCTGCTGTTATGCTCAGCTGGCTAAACAATCAAGCGGGGCATTCCAAAATATAGTGTTAACATGATCTGCTGGTATGCTCAACTGGCTAGGAAATCTAGCAGGGCATTCCTAAATATATTGTAAAAATGCTTAGCTGTTATGCTCAGCTGGCTATGCAATCTAGCGGAACATCCCAAAATATAGTGTAAAAATACTCTGCTGAATTGTTCAGCTGGCTAGGCAATCTAGAAGGGCATTCCTAAATATAGTGTTAAAAATGCTCAGCTGGCTAGGCAATCCAGCAGAGCATTGCTAAATATAGTGTAAAAATGCTCTGCTGGTAAGCTCAGCTGGCTAAGCAATCTAGCAGGGCATTCCTAAAAACAGTGTTAAAAATGCTCAGCTGGCTAGGCAATCCAGCATAGCATTCTGAAAATTAGTGTAAAAATGCTCTGCTGAATTGTTCAGCTGGCTAGGCAATCTAGAAGGGCATTCCTAAATATAGTGTTAAAAATGCTCAACTGGCAAGGCAATCCAGCAGAGCGTTCCTAAATATAGTGCGAAAAATGCTCTGCTGGTATGCTCAGCTGGCTAAGCAATCTAGCAGGGCATTCCTTAATACAGTGTTAAAAATGCTCAGCTGGCTAGGCAATCCGTATTTAGTGCCAATGCAGATAATGACATTTTTGACTTCTACGGGACCCTCAAGTGTCTATTTCTCTGGTCTCCGACTGATTCTGGGACGATCGCAGACTTTCAGGAATTTTTGGTGTTAATGCAGATAATGACATTTGTGAATTTTAGGACCATCCAGATTCCATTTCGTTGGTCTGCGAATGTTCTGGAACACTCGCAGACTTTCAGAAATTTTCTGTGCCAATGGAGATAATGACATTTTTACTTCAAAAGGATCCTCCTGAGTCTATTTCGTTGGTCTGCGATTGATTCTGAGTCTTTCGCAGACTTTCAGGAATTTCGGTGTCAATGCAGAAAATGATATTTCTGACTTATTGGGACCTTCTTGAATCCATTTTTTTGGTCTGCGACTGATTCTGAGGCACTCACATACTTTCAGGAATTTTTGATGTCAAGGCAGATAATGACATTTTTACTTCTAGGGACCATCCAGGGTCCATTTTTTTATCTGCGACTTATCCTTGGACAGTCACAGTTTTCAGGAATTTTTGGTGCCAATAGAGATAATTACAATTTTGATATTTTTGACCATCCAGAGTCTCTTGCGTTGGTGTGCGACTGATTATTGGGCACTTGCAGACTTTCAGGAATTGTTGGTGCTAATGCAGATAATGACATTTTAGAGTAAAAATGCTCTGCTTATGACTAAGGGGTCCTTTAAGTAAAAAATGTCATGATCTGCAATGGCACTAAACATCCTGAAAGTCTGCGAGTCTCAAAGAATCAGTTGCAGACCCAAGAAGTGTACTCTGGCGGTTCCATAGAAGTCAGAAATGTCATTATTTCCATTTGCATCAAAATTCCTGAAAGTCTGCAAGTGTCCCAAAAACAGTCGCAGACCAGCGACATGAACTCTGGTGGGTCGCTAGAAGTAAAAAATGTCATTATCTCCTTTGGTACCACAGATTCCTGAAAGTCTGCGAATGTCCCAGAATCAGTCACAGACCATTAAAATGGATTCTGGCGGGTCCCTAGAAGTCAGAAATGCCATCATCTCTATTGGCACCAAACTTTCCTGAAAGTCTGCGAGTGTCCAACAATACGCTGCAGGCCAATGAAATGGACTCACAAAGGTCCCTAGAAGTCAACAATATGATTATTTCCATTGGCACCAACCATTCCTGAAAGTCTGTGAGTGTCCGAGAATCAGTCGCAGATCAACAAAATGGACTATTGAGGGTCCCTAGAAGTTTAAATTGTCAATATCAGCATTGGCACCAAAATTCCTGAAAGTCTGCGAGTGTCCATTTAAAAGTCGCATGACAATGAAATAGCCTCTTAAAGGTCCTTATAAGTCAAAAATATGATTATTTCTATTGGCACCAAAAATTCCTGAAAGTCTGCGAGTGCCTCAGAAGTGCCTAGCAGTCGCAAATGTCAATAAAACGTTGGCAACAATAAATCCTGGAACTCAGAGTCAGTCTGCCAGCTGAGCATTCCAGCAGAGCTTATTAATACTATAATTCCGAATGCACCGCAAGATTGCTTATCCAACACAGCATTTTCACACTATTTTTCAGAATGTTCTGCTAGGTTGCCTATCGAGCTTAGCATTCCAGAGAACATTTTACACTATATTTAGTAATCACTGATTCTCATAAGAATTGTGAAATTGACAGATCAAAAGTCGAAAAAATCGATCTCCTTAATAGGGCCTATTTTCGAAGATTTCGAAAAGTAGAACCCTTAAATGAGACAATTGTGAAATCTTTTGAACATCAACGAAATACTTTGTGAGTACTACTCTCTGAAAGAAGCAACCCTAGTTGTCAAATTTATCCTATTGTAATGTACGCTACTATCAGTTTATTAATTAAAACATTCCGAATTTCATAAGAAATATTAAACATATCCACTTCAGAGAACTTTAATTTTGCCATGTATTCATTACATTTGTAAAATAACAAAATATTTCACTATGAAACGCTTGAAATATTTTTTTCTTGAGCTTGCAAAGTTATCGCGATAAAACGCAATTCTACAAAAGTACGTTTATTTAAAATGCGGAATTTTTGATGATTGATTTCATTTGTATGATTCCATTTATTTGTTCTTATGTTTTGTTTAAACATTACTTCAATAATGATAATGTGACGGAAAAAAACTTTGCAAACAAAATACATGACTAAAATTTTGTGGTAGAGTCTGTTTGACAGAACATCAATTGTCTCGGACATTACGTAATCCGGTAAAAATATTCGTTGTGGGTAATTGCATGCTTAAGTCATCATCTGGCACAGGCTGTCAAAGTAATAGAATCTCGGTTAATTCTTAGAATTTATCATAAGAAAGATAAGTCTGGCTATAGTAGCATAAGTATTTAATTGTAAATAAACATATAAACGACTTAGATTACTAAGTTATTTTCAGTTATGTGCGGCACTTAATTTACAAGTCGCGTACATTACCGATGCCAGTAAATTTTGGCGACAGTTCTAAAACATTCTACATTTGACAAAGATCAGTCTTTTCAAGTGGGTCAAGCTTCGAAAACAGATAAGAAGACATACATACTCCTGCACAAATTAATTTTTTGCCGGAATTGTATAGGTTTTTGGGGTTACACTAGCTCAAACACGAATAATCCAAAATGGCGACAGTCTCGAACATTACATTTCCAATAGCTTCCCTCATAAAATTTTGGTATCGAATGTGTTATCAATGAAGTCTATGGATCAAAAAATTCCCTTATATACCTTTTGCACGTTAGCTATCAAAAAGCAAGTTTTTCTGAATCGATTATGTTCAGAGTGTGCAGCGACATCAATTTCACAATTCGCGTGAGAATTAGTGTATGCTCTGCTAGATTGTCAAGACAGCTGAGTATTGCAGCAGAGCAATTTTACACTTTATTTATGAATGCCCTGCTAGATTGCTTAGCCAGCTTAGCATTCCAGCAGAGCATTTTTACACTATATTTAGTAATGCCCTGCTAGATTGCCTAGTCAGCTGAGCATTCCACCAGAGCATTTTTTCACTATATTTAACAATGCCCTGCTGGATTGCCTAGCCAGCTTAGCATTTCACCAGAGCAAGTTTACACTATATTTAGTTATGCCCTGCTAGATTGCCTATCCAGCTGAGCATTCCAGCAGAACTTTTTTTCACTATAACTAGGAATGCTCTGCTAGATTACCTAGCCAGCTTAGCATTCCAGAATAGTGTGTGTACACTATATTTAGTAATATCCTGCTAGATTGCCTAGCCAGCTTAGCATTCCAGCAGAGCATTTTTACACTATATTTAGTAATGCCCTGCTAGATTGCCTAGCCAGCTTAGCATTCCAGCAGAGCATTTTTGCACTATATATAGTAATGCCCTGCTAGATTGCTTAGCCAGCTTAGCATTCCAGCAGAGCATTTTTACACTTTATTTAGTAATGCCCTGGTAGATTGCCTAGCCAGTTTAACTAGCCAGCTGAGCATTCCAGCAGAGCATTTTAACACTATATTTAGTAATGCACTGCTAGATTGCCTAGCCAGCTGAGCGTTCCAGCAGAGCATTTATTCATTAAAGCTAGGAATGCACTGCTAGATTGCCAAGACAGCTGAGTATTGCAGCAGAGCATTTTTACACTATATTTAGGAATGCCCTGCTAGATGCCCAAAACAGCTGAGCATTACAGCAGATCATTGACTTCCCTATATAAATTGAAATGCCTTTTTGCTTAGCTCACTGTTCACTGCTAACTTCTCACATACACAATAAAAAATGATTAAAAACTTGATATGCAACACATTTTATTGTGATTCGGTGTAAATGTTTAAGCCAGCCTTAAAATGTACTTTGTTTCCTAGACCCTTGCCAGTGTTTGGTACGGTTATATTCGTATGCCGTCACTCTTTGACCATGCGTGCATGAGTGCTTGTGTTCCATTTTGTATCACAAATAGATGTTAAAGTCTAAGTTAGAGTCACCAAACTTTACAGGAATGTTGATCAGCATGTGAACTTGTGCACCAGGGGGTTTTAGATGTGGATTTATTCAGTTTACCGTATCCGTTCTGTGCATTCTTACTATGCATTCTTACTATTTTGCTCCAGGTTCTTATCCAAAGTTTGACGAAAAGGGCCGAAAAGATACAATTGCGTATCTCGCTTGACAGTTTTAATGCTTAACTTAAGAGTCCTGTTTAGTATCATTGCTGAAAACAATATAATTAAGTATGTATGTTTGACTTAGATTTTTTCCCATTCAATAGGTCAGACAGTATAGAAATGAAATTTTTCACTCAAGCAGTATGGAGTTAGAGGAAACAGAGGCAAATTCTTACATTGAAGATATGATATCAGTTCTACAAGATGGAAAGGAGCTTATACACCATCAGGCTGCTCAACTAGCTGTCGGGAAACTACACGATGTAAGTGTAAATAATGAATAACATGTATAAGAAATTCTGAAGGTGTTTTGTTATGATTAAAATAGCACATCTTTTAATTCAAGACATATTTAGGGTAATTGACAAACTGTTTAAAAGGGTTTCATTATAGTCATATTTAGATGATAACTGCCTTAAAAATTTAATTAATGAAATTAAATATACATGCTCATTAAAAGGTAATATACACAAAAACAACGTATCATTCGTAAAAAGTGAAGTAAGAAGTTTAGTTTGACTATTAGATATCTGTACCACACATTATGTTATAAAAGCGCATTTTAAAAGTCCTCACAAAATAACGAGATATAAAAAGAACAATTGTGGTAATTTTGAAATAAAGTCTGACCTCATGTATAAAAAATATTTTTTATACAAGGGTAAATAACATAGATTAAAGAGCTGCAATTTTAACATAATTGTTAATTTTCATCAGCTGAAGAAGAAGGACTTCATAATTACTTCTGACGGCTATGAAGAAGTTCTGAGGCAAATCAAAGAAGAAATGACGAAAGTTCTGAAAACAACAGAAAATGCTGCAACTAAAGATCAATATTTCGAGCTTACAAATAAGTTATCTGACCTTGAGACACAGATTGCCCAAGAAAAAGAGGTACAACTTTGTTTTTATTACTCATAAATGTTTTTCCGATTGATATACCAGTTCATGTACATACAACCATGTATAATAAGCTTACACACAATAAGGTTAGCAAGCTTTTTGATTTCGTGATGCCCGTTGTCTGTTCTTATCCAAATTTTTGTCTTACCTAAGCACAACTTGCGATGTGAATGTCATCTCTCTGCCAAGCATCATCAAGAAATTATTGATGATGCATGACGAAAGTTCTGAAATCAACAGAAAATGCTGCAACTTAAGACGAATATGACGAGCTTAAAAATAAGTTATCTGACCTTAAGACACTGTTAGGGGATAGAAATGTGGCACCGAATTCTAGCAAGATTATTCAAATTATGGCCCTAGGTTTACGATTGACCCTTACGTGGTTGGCCATGTGTTTCCTATTTATGAACAGTATAGTAAACGTTTCCGATTAAATTAGTTACGGTCGTTGTATTCAAACAACTTGCCAAGCTGCTGTGGGTTCAAATTCCATCAAGGAATTTGTATTTTGTCCTGAGGGGACCTCTACAACAAGTTTATGGAACATCAGTGATTCCACTTAAGTGTCCGCATTTGTCTGAAATGATACACGGATTGGCACTTGAAGTCTTCCTCCACCACATTGCCTTTACAGTGTCAGTGCAATGTAAAACAAAATCATATAATTAAATTTTCTTGCTCTTAAACAAATAATAAAAAAGACAAATGTAAAGCTAAGAAATTTGACTTGAAACATAGTCTAGTAGACCCTGCCAGTCAGTTGGGAGTGAGAGGGTGTTTAATGTAAAGTATGAAAACAATCAAAAGTATTTTTCGCTGTAACAAACATTGCTCCTCAAGTTTTTGAATACATCTTTATATGAAATAACAAGTAGGTATATTGATAAATAGTAGCATTGACCTCCAATTTAACATTAACCTTATTGTCACTTTCACAGTGTTTGTCATTTGTATAAGTATAGCACTGCGGCATTTGCGATGCGGTTGCATATATCGATTCACCTGTGTGTGTTTACGTGCGTGCTTGCGTGTGTGTGTTATACATTATATAGTGAACTTAAAAAAATCTTCTTCTGAAAGCCACTTGTCCAATGTCAACCAAGCTTTACGGGATTGTTCCTTAGAAGTTGTTCAAAGAATTTGATTTCATGCAGAAATCTGGTTGTGAAGGCAACAGAAAAGGAATAATATGAATTAATTCAAAACATCTTTTTGTAAAGACCCACAAGTCAAAGAGTATAGATATTTTCATTGTCTGGTAGACCTCTACAAAGTTAGTTCAAATTACAGCCCTGGGGTCAAAAATGGCCCCGCCCCGTGGGGCATTGATTTTTATTATGTATATATAAAAACTTTTTTTATAAAACTTGTCTGAAAGTGCAAGGCTTAGAACTTTGATATTAATTTGGTATATGATATCATCTATAGCTCCTCTACCAAAATTTGACTCTCGTGTCAAAATTGGTCCCGCCCCGGAGTCAAAGGTTTTCCTAATATGTACGTATATATTAAAACCTTAAAAAATTTCCTTCTCTGAATTGACAAAGGCTAGAGATTAGATATTTGGCATGAAACATTGTGACCAATATTTTTCAAATTATGGTCCAGGGGTCAATATTGTCCCCGTCCCGGGGGTAATTGATTTTCACTACGTACATATAATAAAAAAAAAACTTAAAAATCTTCTGTATCTGCATTTCAAAGTTTAACACAGCTATGTAATACAGAAAATACCTATTTTTTCATTAGACAATTCTTTGACATTTTAAAATTCACTACTGCATTATGTATGGTAACAATTGTATAGTAACAAAAAATTACTTCTGTTATATTAATGAGGTGGCATACCATTTTTTCATCAACGCATTCTAGTTTTATTTTGCTGAAATTACAATAAGTTTGTTTTAATGATAATGGACAGATTTGATTCATACTTGGACAAAACAACACTTGTGACAACACCAACTTGATGGAACATTACTGTTTACAGTTCATTTCAAGAACATGTCGTCATAAACCTTGCGATAAATTGTGAACTAAACATTTAGAAGATGATAACAGTCAGATAAAATCTGAAAGTTTAAATAATCTTTTACAAAATGATGTCAATTGCACCAGAATTGTTGGATTTTTTCTTCAGGAATAAATAATTCGTCCATGGCAATAAAGCTGATTTTCTATGAAGAAAATTCAATTGTCTCAGTACTGCATCAGTAATAATTTCAATTTGATGTTTTTGAGATTATTTTGGATCGATCATGTGTGTAAGACAGACTAAAATACCGATATAACTTTATATAAAGCATATTTTTGAAAATTACTGAATAAAACACAATTATTTGTATCATTATTTCTGTTGTAGGAGAAACAAAGACTCAAGGTACAAGATTCTTCTCAACAAAAACAGCTAGAGTATGAAAAAACTAAATCAGGTATGTTATTTTCTCCCCGCCTAAGACAAAGGGGAAATTAGATATGGTCTCCGTCCGTGTGTGCAAACAGGTGAGGAGCCATCAAACTGTAAACGAAACAAATGAGGAAAATTTATAGTTCCTTAAATAACAATAGAGTAAAAAGCCAATGACCCTCTTTTAAATAAAAGAAAATAATAAAGGAAATGAACAAATTTCCTATTTCAATCGCATTTCCATCTGTTCGTCCTATTTTTAAGAAACAGTGCAATTTACAATGGTCACAAGGGGTTCCAAAAGGAATCCCATCTTGGGTCTTGATATAAGCAAGTTTGCTTTAAATATTCATTCCTATTTCCGGTGAATGTCTAGTTAATGTCCGAAACTATATTTCTTTTTGCTAATAGCTAGAGACATTGACCATTTGGGACCAAAAGCAACCTCATGATTTGTGTTCGGTTATGGGCTACATTAAAGTTTTTGCACGGAGATGCCAAAATCAACAAGGCAGCAATCATTACTGACAAGCTAAAACAAACAATTTCTAGCAAGACTTGTTTTATCTGTATGATTTATAAAACTATTTTATTAATATTTTTTACAAGCTGAATGTAATTTACCGATAAATCTGACTCTTGTTAATTTCTAATTTTACTATCAAAGTGCATATGACACTGGATTATAATGGGGCATAAACATTCGAACATATACTTATTAATGGCTTTGATTTTGTGCATTTATTATCACCAATGTTACTCTGGAACATGTGTTGCTGACATTAATTGACTTGCCTCTGATGGTGTCATCCTTTTGAGTTTAAATCCCAACAGAGACTTTGTATTATTTCATGTGAGTTACTTATCTAGTTAGCTTATGGAAGGCAGACAAAGATAAGAGACAGTGTCCTCTTGTTTATTTTGTATCATAGATGTTACATAGAACATGCTTATTGTTAAAATAGCTTCAGTTGATGAACAATATTAATCACATATATGTTAATAAAAACATACAGAAGAACTAGAGGTCTTGCTAAGTTAGTTGTTTTAAACTTGTATGTTATGATTGCTGCCACGTTAGGGTTAACCTTAACCCTTGCATCTTCGTGCCAAAACTTTAATCAAAATTGCTCATTTCCCAACATAAATATTGGAATACTTGCTCATCATGACAAGATTAAGGTATAATACAAGGGCCATCAATCTGACTGCTATATTTGAAAGTATGCCTTTCGTCAATACTTTGCATATAAGTTAAATGATTTAAAAGATATAAAGGTATCAATAGGAATGTTGGAAAGCGAGAGTTAAGGCATTTACCTGAAAGAATTATTTCTCTTGTTTACTTAGCATATTTGTAAAAAAAGGATAGTAATGGAAAACTGTCAAAGGCATTGTACTTCTTCTTCGCATGCTTAATAATGGGGACAATGTAGTTCTGCTTGACAAGACATATTACTGAGTAACCAGTTTTTATAGAGCTGTGTCTGAGGGCAATGGACACATTTAAGTGATTAGTACTCCCTGAGATATATCCAATTTTCACATTTTTATGCCCCACCTTCGAATGAGAAGGGGTATATTGTTTTACTTATGTCTGTTAGTCGGCCTGTCCGTCTGTAGTCACATGGTTTCCGCTGATTATGTTGAAAACTATTTATCACAAAGTCTTCATATTTCACATAGTGATTGGTCATAACAAGTAGATTACCCTTATTGATTTAGGGGTCACTAGGTGAAAGGTCAAGTTCACAGGGGCCTTAAATGGCAAAATGGTTTCTGCTGATTATCTTCAAAGTATTCATAACAAAGTCTTCATATTTCACTTAGTGATTGGTCATAATTATTAGATGACCCCTATTAATTTTATAATCACTAGGTCAAAGGTCAAGGTCAAAGGGGCCTTAAATGTTAGAATGGTTACCGCTGATTATCTTAAAAAAATATTCATAACAAAATCTTCAAATTTTACATGGTGATTAATCATAATTAGAAGATGATTGATTTTGGGGTCACCAGGTCAAAAGTCAAGGTCACAGGGGCCTTGAATGTTAGAATGGTTTCCGTATATTATCTTAATTAATATTTATCACAAAGTTTTCATATTTCACATATTGATTGGTCTTAACTAGTAAATGACTCCTATTGATTTTCGGGTCACTAGGTCAAAGATCAAGGTCACTATTACCTTTAAACTGAAACAGTTTCCGCTCAATAACTTAAGTATTAATCAACCTACAGCTGTAAAATTTCATAGGATGAACAGCCATGTCCAATACATGACCCCTATTAGTTTAGGGTCATAAGGGCAAAGGCTAGGGTCACAATGATCTTTACTTTGAAAATTGTGCTTTCTGGAGCATAACACAAGTTCCATTTGGCTTACAGTGTTTAAACTTCATAGAATGATTACCTATATTGAATAAAAGATCCATATATATATTGAGGTAACAATGTCAACGGTCAATATCAAATGACCTTAATATTATTAACAGTTTTACAACTGGCAAATTTCAAAGGATTATCACTTGAATTGAGTACATTTATTATATGCCCTTACCTTGCCTATATTATGTTATACCCCGGACCTTGAACGGTAGTATGGATTGTCTTGAAAGCTAATCATTACAAAGATTTTATATTTCACATAATGATTGATTAAAACTAGTAAGTGACCCCTATTGCTTTCATGTCACTAGTTCAAATGTCAATGTCACAGGAGCCTTAAATGTCAGAATGGTTTTCGCTTATTATCTTGAAAATTTATTCATCACAAAGTCTTCATATTTTACATATTGATTTTTCACAACTAATAAGAGACCCCTATTGATTTTGGGATCAATATGTCAAAGGTCACAAGGTCCTTGAATGTTGGTATGGTTTTCGCTCATTATTTGAAAGCTATTTATCACAAAGACTTCATATTACTCATATTGATTGGTGATAACTATTAGATGACCCTTATTGATTTTGGAGTAAGAAGGTCAAAGTTCAAGGTCACAGGTGTCTTAAATGTCAGAATGGTTTCCGCTCATTATCGTGAAAACTATTTACCACAAAGTTTTCATTATTTTTCTTTTTTCCATATCTGAACACTCTCATGTATTCATTTATAAAAAAAAATACCAATGTGAGTCAAGGGCTAGAAATGGGGCATACGTGTTGTTCGACATTTTTGTTTTATGTCTCTTTTTTCTTATGTTTTTTGTTGCTTTTTATCAAAAAGGATATCTCTAACATTCACTATCGCAAAGTTATTTATCTGATTCATGAGTGAAATGCATACCAGCCGTAACATTCTTGACTTTGCATTTTTTGCTTGTTTTTTTGGTTTTTTTTTTGGTTTTTTTCGAAGAAAAAATAGCTATGACTACAGTCTTTGACGTTGCTGTTGCCGTTGCAGTCAAAAAGCATTAACGTTGGTCATATATTTTATAATTTCTCAATGGATTTCATTCATACTTAAAGGAGCTCCACTGAGGTCCGATAGGTAATTTGGTGTCCAAAAAAATGTAAACAAATTTCCACACAAATCACAATGTTATTACTAAAATAACAATAACTTACATTTTAACCAACCCTTTAACAACAATTACGCTAGAAAATGCATTTTTCACATTAGCTTTTGATGCAAAATGAAAGTTGGGTTTCCCAGACATGTACAGAGTTACCCGGTTACCCACAATTCATCGGGTATCACTAAAATACGCAACGGACATTTTGGGGCAACGGAGTAAACGGGAAAAATGTCTATTGATTTTTCTTAACACCCTAACCTATCATGTTTAATATATAACTTGAAGAAAAATTGTATAAAAGCTATTCAAAATAGATATTTTGATGTCTTGAAAAAACGCAAGCGAAGCGGACGTTTTCTAGACAAAACGGAAAGATATTGACCCAGTTGTTCAAAGCTTTTGTTAAATATTTAACAATGAAATCATAGTTAAATTAACAACAAATTGCTAAATTCTGTGTTAAATTTTGTTGTTAAGCAATTCTGTTGTTCAAACATTGTTAACGTTAAAGTTCTGTTAAATTAAAATAAGTGTTGTTAATTTTTTTGTTAAATATCTTTGTTAAAAAAATCAGTTGTTCAGAAAAAAAAGCGTTATCTTTTTGTTAAACCATCGGCTTTAACAAAGATTTAACAAGAAAATTAATTCACCTCCATAGGTGAATTAATTTTATTGTAAGTGGCACAGAAAGTTGCTTGTTCCCTTATTTTACCCCTGTCAACTCCAAAAGAGTCACTTTTAACATTTTAATGCCATTGGGACATCATTCTCAATTATAAAAAGATTCTAAACAATTTACACAGGAATTTTAGAAAGTCCCATTTACTATCAATAGCCTCAATGTGGTATAAAAAGAAATTAATTTTCATAAAATGTCTGAATCTGTTCATGTGTCATACTGATAAACAAGTTTTAAAGTAATATAATCAGTATTAAGATCATCTTTTAAATTCAGCATAAACAAATATAAATTATTCCTGCCTGTGATATAATTGACTTTCTTGAACTTCACTTAACAAATGTAGTTACCTCATTCTACCTTATTTTGGATCATTAGAGTAACAAGCTGACAAAATATTGTACTGCTAGTGTAAAACCATATATAGGATTGATTACCAAAATCTGACACCACTGGTCCAATACTGCTTTGTTCAAAAAACCCTCTACTTGGTTGGTTAACTATTGCCAGTTTTTTGTTTGTTTTGTCAATTTAAATCTTCACTTTAAATATCTTATTAAAATCATTCAATAACAAGAATAAAGATCAATAAGGCAAAGGCAACGTTCACAGGACCATTTGTCTCATATGTTTATTTGTATGTTTTTTGTCTGATGTCAGTTTCGTGCCAAATAATAAATTGTCAAATGTGTTATTACAGTGGGATAATTTGTAGTTACTATATATATATATATATATATATATATATATATATATATATATATATATAGTTATAAACTGCCATGATCATCTGGAAACCAGAAAATATGTTTGTAATGCAATGGTTCA